GCAAAGATATCAAAACACAATTGGTAATCAAAAGTTTATATAGATTTATTTTTATTTGTTAACTTTATCATATACTAAACAAACTTTCTCTTTAGATTCTGTATTTAGCCATCAGAGTCCAGCTATGAAAATCCATTTTTGATGATGGTTTGGCCAAAGAATTTTGCTAGGGACGAGGAAAGGGCAAAAATAAATTTTGTGATCTAGTGCCCTGCAATGTCATCACAGGTAATTTATATATCTTATACTTACGATGTGTTGTAAATTATGAATAAAACTAATATATAATTAATTCCAGGATATATACATATATATACATACATATATATGCATTTATTCATTTGTTTTCTATTTCAGGAGAGAAAATCAACCATAGACTAGGATTGAATGCCGAATTAATTATATTTTTAATATTGTAAAATAAGTTATTTTGAATTAAAGTTGTATATATTAAATTTTGTTATAAAATTATCTCAGGATTTTGTTATTTTGTAATAAAAGTTTACTTTGTGAAATTGTGTTCTTTTATTTTATTTTTAATCCAAATTTATTTTTCATCTAAAAAGTAAAAAACAATTCCATAATTAAATCCTATTCATGTCCGGTTTATGTCCGGAATATCCCGCGCGGGATATCCTACAGAACGTCCCGTAGGTGCGACATATTAACATGTTTCGGATATAGTCAGGATAAGCAGGATATCCGTAAGGATATAGCAGGGACAATGAATGTCCGCGCGAGAATATCCTGTGGACATTTTCCAGGATGACTTGTGTTGTCTGGATATATATATATATATATATATATATGTATATATACATAATTTAAATATTACTGGTTAAAAATTGAAAAATAAAGATAATAATAGAAAATCTTCACCATCAACTTAAATCGAATACATTTATAAGTAAAAGCATCGCTTGATTACTTATGATAAATTTTTTCTAAACTTTAATTTATCGTTTAATTTTTTTTATTAATATAAATTTTAAGGAAATTTTTATCAATAGTATTGATCCAGGTTGATCCATGTTGTTGTTGTTCAAATAATAACTATAATTTTCACTGCAGAGGGGCAAAATATTTTTGATGGCAAAACATCGTTTGCCGGGTCAGCTAGTATATATATATATATATATATCAAAGGTAATTTGTGACAGTCCAGCTCGTGCATTCATAACTAAAACGACTGGGCATGCTGGTTATAACAGCTGCACCAAATGTGTTCAGAGAGGAGAGTTTTGAGAGTTTGAGATTGCACCCATGACATCATACAGGGGATTTTATTTTAGAGCAACTTAATATTGGCATGGTGTCTCAGATGGCATTAGACTATATGCATCTTGTGTGTTTAGGTGTCACCAAAAGATTGTTAAGTCTGTGGGTGAAAGGTTCGAGAGATGTAAAATTAGATGACGAAGCTACTGCAAGGGTGAGTGAATTTTTGGTAAATTATAAAAAATATGTAACTCCCGAGTTTTCCAGGTTACCAAGACTTCTTAAAGACGTCAACTATTGGAAGGCCACCGAGTTCAGGCTGTTTCTCCTATATTTAGGACCTATAGTTTTACAACCTGTTCTGGAAAAGGACAAATACATCAATGTCGTTCAATTTAGTTTGGGGATTAGGATTTTGTGCGACCCAGAATTACGTGTTGATAAAAACGATACAGCAAAGAGTTTTCTCAACAATTTTGTAAATGAACATTCAAGGCTATATGGAGCTGGACGGGTGACTTGCAATACACATAATTTGATACATCTTCCTGCTGATGTGATAAATTTCTTCTCCCAACCTTTTTTGTGTTGCTTTTTACATAGGCGCTTTGCCTTTTGAAGTAGTCCTTGACTGTATTTACCATATTGCTGCTGCAGTTTGCCTGCGTCAGCCTATGTGTGATGGCGGGTCGCCACAGGTTATCCAAGGCACCTTCAATATCCACAAATATAGCAAGTACATACTTCATATCTGTTGCTATGCATTTTCTAACGGTTAGCAGTGCGTTCTCTGTGGGGACGCCTGCCCATAGATAAACAAGTATAATAGATCGCTATGTCTGGCGGTTTGACGTTACCTCGATTGGAATACAAATTTTTAAAAATAGATGGCAGCACATGTATAATATTTAAATTACCCCTGGTTTTACTTCTTAATTTGTACGTATCGTATACAGCCCCAAAAACCTGAATAATTTTTAATATTGGAAATAAGAACAAATCATACGAAATACAAAATATATATTTTCAAAGATATTACATATGTTTAAAGAACAATTAAAATTATGTTTATATTAACAATTATAATTACAGTTATGGAATGTTTGAAAATATAATAATTATTATACATAATTATAAAAGTATTATAATTTCACAATTATGCTTAAATAATATTTCAAAAACTAAATATGTAAGTGAAGAAAATCACAGAAGTATTTAACTAAACTAAGCACAAATAACTGACTAATATTAATTACTTAATGACTAATATTAATATATTAAAATCTTAAAAACTAAGAAGAAACTACAAGCACAGGAGCACACGCAATGAAATTACAAATTTAGAAGGAATGACAAATAATACAAAAATTTAAAGGGTTAAGAAAAAAACAAATAATTTGTTAAAAAGTACAAATACTTCACAAACAAAAAAGTCCTAAAAACATAAAATATATATATATTGATATCAAAATTGAGAGAAGTTCAAATACCTAGGATTAAAACTCATTTACGAGACATTGTTCTTTATTAATTCTGCATGTAATAGTTATTTCGCTATCTAATGAATTAATAGTAAAGTTGTATTTAACAAAACCTTTGAATAGTTTCTGTACGAGTGTTTTATAACATTACATTTAGCCATGTTCCATCATGAAAACATTATCATTGAAATTGCCATAAAAGATTAACAAAGTGTTTACAATGAACAGAATAATGTTTTATGCACATACAATTGCTTATGAATCAAAAGATAAAAGCAATATTTTTGATTCCCAAGGTCGGTAACAAATATATCTTGAATTTAAACATTATATTGGGATGTTACACAAGTTTTATTTGAGGAATATTATAACACTAATCTTCAATCAAAATACATTAAAATATTATGTATGGTATAGACTCTCTTTATAAGTGTTTACATTTGCTAATGTAATAGATAATCTTATTAAATATATCAATGAACTTACGTTGATAAACATTTAAACCAATACTAGTTTACTTTATAAGCGTTTACATTTGCTAATGTAATAGATAATCTTATTAAATATAACAATGAACTTACGTTGATGAACATTTAAACCATACTTGCTGAATAACTGTTTTGCAACTTCAACAATATGAGATTCAATCCAATCATATAACAATTCCGAAGATAATGGTATTTCATCAAACATCAAAACACAGTATCTGCTACTAATACTTTTTAAAAGAAATAGCTGAACCTAATGTTTTAAATAGACACTCATAAATACCGCTATACACTTGTATCTCTGAATGCAACTTTCTCAATGTTTGAGGACATGGCAAAATAAATATTTGTCTCCAAAAATAGTAGACCTGTGGAGACTTTTTGTACGACTTATTCCTTAAATTATTGCATTGTTTATGAATCCTTCTTGTCATTACATATTGCATTCCTTGGTTGTCAAAAGTACTCCTGCGCTTTGTTTGTGCATTTTGCAGCAATTTGCAGGTACCCCCAAAACACCTATTCAATATAATAACATGTTGACATATCTTAATTATATATAATTATTGCTGCAATTATTATTAAAAAATACCTTTGCGGAAACTTGTATTGGAATAGCTAAATATTTTAACCTGCACTTGACACTTTTTTGGGTACTATAAAAACACTTTGCCATATTAAATTTCACAAATGTTCACTTAAATAAAATTAATTAATTAGAAACAACACGAGTTCAAAAAGTTAGGTTATTCGTACAGCCATACAGCGATCAAATACATGACAGCCACTTGCATGAACCACGAACAATTTGTAGTTGAAATTGAGTGCACATGAGCCATCTGTTTTTAAAAATTGAAACTACTCAGGACCAAAACAGTACAACGCGCATTTGTTCGAAGATAACTCCCCATGCGCCTGCCTTAAAGCCATACTGTCGTGCATCTGTCGTGCACTGCACATGTTCATTTCCATATACTTTGCGTTTATACGCTCTACGAGTATTTTCTCGTAGATCTTTCCCATCACTGGCAGAAGGGTTATTGGACGGTATGATTTCTGTTTTCACTCCCTCGTTTGTAGTATAAATTTTTACATTTCTATGGGTTCTGTAATATTATTTATCCGTTATTCTGCGACGCGGCGCTTACACTCTTCTATCTTTTGTCTCTATGCAGCTAAAGCAGCGCGATTGGTTTAAAAAAATGTTGAAAATTTTTAATATATAAAATAAACTCAAAATTTTTCAGTTTTCATTTTTTTTTTTTAATTTTAATTTTTGGTTAGTATAAATTCAGGAATGGGGCGGCATTTTTATCAGTGCCCCAGGGCGCCAAATTTCAAAATCCGGCCCTACATAGTGGTATATGTTTTTCATAGAAAGTGTATAAAACTTCCAGTTTGATTGTATTAATAAAATATAGGCAAACGAATAATGTTAATATAAATTATATAATATTGAACAAGTATACTTTCATTATACGCCTTATTTATGATTATACACTACATATCCTTATACACTTAAAATAAAAATTTAATTTTCTTGATTCTCTAGAAAACTGGTTAGAAATACTTAGCAAAACAACGTTGCCGGGTCAGCTATTTTGTAATAAAAAATTTTTGGAACTGTTAATCTCATCGATTACCGTCGTAGCGCCGCTGCGCTCACTCGTTATTGTCAGGTGTGCCGACACCCTTACGTTTGCTGTTCGCTCTACTGTTATTAGCATTCGTTTTCTATGGACATATGTCGTTGATGGTTTCCGCATCTCACATTAAATTCAACAAGTGTGTTCTGATCATAGATAAAAGAAAAGTATTGTATATAGTTTTGATTTTCAAAAGTGATTATTTCAGTCCGATTTTGTTTCAATTCAGTGATTTAGTGCACAATGAATGATCTACATTGGCGATAACATTATTCGCAAGCTTTTGGTTAGTACTTTGATGGATTAATAATTTTGCTTATTTATTTAGTACATGACAAAAGCAAAGAACTTTCACAGCATCTTAATTTACTTTTGCATTGATTTGGTATGAGAAATATTCGTTAATAACGTTCGTTTTTATAGTTATAGTTATATTTATTGTTATAAATTTGTTGTTTTGATTTAATTTAAAACCTAATGTTCGTCGTATTTATGATTATTAAGTGCGTAGGCAATTTGTTGTTTGTGGATATCGTTTCAAGAGATAGGTTATGGCTAATACTTATGCTACAATTCCAAATATTTTCTTTCGTGGGTACTTATTTACCTCTTCTTATAGTTATATTAAAATAATATTTTTATATCTATATGAATTATTATAGAATTTTATAATTTCAGATGCCGGTGAGGAAACCCTATTCTACATGATGGAGGCCCATGTAAATGCTTTATCGTACAAAACCATCCTATATTTAATAACTACATGAGGTAACTTGAGTTAGAGTTTGAGAATGTAAGTACCTGCATGCTTTTTATCGCAATGGATATATTCCTGATTAGTATGATTAAATGTTCACGAAACACTTTAAGGCACATGTTATTTGTAGTACATGATTTAAATCTTAGCCATTTGATCCACTATTAAACCTGGATTCAGCAAGTTAATGAAATATGCATCTCTATTTACTAATATCTGTCAGTAATTGTTGTCTGTTTTAATATGAATTCAGCAGTTAATTTACGATGTAGAAATTTTGCTATTGCCAACAAATATGGTTGATATTCAACACTTTCCATCCTGCTATCTACAATTTTAATGGTTAAATTTAATATTAATTTGTCATGGAAAAGACAAGAGATTTAATACTTCTTTTTTATCTTATGTATATTACTTGTTTTCAACCTGTTTAATTTTTTTTATATAGAATCACCATCATTCTTACTGTATGGCAACTGTTTATTCCCTTAAAATTGACAAAAACTTCACTTATTATTCATTTATTTATGTTTTTTTTTTCAACGGCGATAGTACAATATGGTTACATTTTGAAGTCTACAAATTCTAAACTAAAGAGGTAATATGTGAGAAAATTAGAGTATTAAGAGTTCATAGATAGCTTTGTATATATACATAACACTTAATATAAACTACAAATATATAACATTAAATAAAAACTAATAAAATTAAACATTTAATAAACTATAAATCACTACTTAAGACAGACTTTTAAGGATAATTTTTCTGGCTTGATTTTTTATATTTGTCACCGACAGACCAAAGATATCAATCTCAGAAGCAAATTCATTTATTATTTTTGATATTCTGAACATGGGTGCATGTGAAACAAATTTGGTTTCAACTGTAGGTATTTCCAAAGTTCAGTTATTATGTAACTTAACATTTCATACAACTTTGATGCGTTTGAGAAGTTCAGGTGCATATAAAGCACCTTTCACAATATTTACTCTATAGCAGAAGGTGAGGTACATTCTTCTAGCATCGAGTGCGGTAATGTTAAGATGGTTGTACATTTGGGACTGACTTAACTGAATATTGCTCTTGTATCTGCGGAATCTTACATGATTGACAATTTTTTTCTGGACAGATTCAATTCTGTCAATCTGATATTGGTAAATCGGGTCCCAAATTACACACCCATACTCTAATATTGGTGTAACTAAGGTATCAAATAGTACACTCAGGGTATCATCATTTTGGAAATCTCCACTGTTTCTGAGCAGACCACCGAGTATACAATTTGCCCTTGACACAATATTGTTCAAGTGACCATCGAATGCTAGCTTTCTATCTATATATACTCCCAAATCACGGATACCATCCACTTGCGGAAGTACTTCTTCTGCTATGAAGTATCGATGATTAGAGTAGCTTTCACTGCCGCGACAAAATTTAATAACTGCGCATTTACTCACATTCAATTTAAATTTATTTATTTCATACCATCTAGATAATCGATTTAAGTCTTCCTGGAGTGCACACAAATCACCTTTGTTCCTTATGCCTCTGTATATTTTAGTCATCCGCAAATAAAGAAAACTCAGATGAGAACCCATTGCCAATGTCATTCCCAAATATACAAAATAGCAATTGTGTAAGATGAGATCCTTGCGGCACTCCTGAAGAGAACGTACATTTATCTGATATGGAGTCAATTAATTTCACGCATAGTTTTTTACCTCTCAAATAGGATTCAAACCAATTATATAAACCAATTATATAATATAATTTTAATAACAAATTAAGTGGCCTTATTCTTTCCTCTTTGGCACTCCATACTTTTATTCGCACATTCTCTAGAATTATCTTGCAATGATGCTTTTGTTTGTTGAACAAATGAACAAATTGTTAAATATTTGCCTTCAGCGATGTAGGTAATTTTAGTATTTCAAAACACAACACAAGTTTTATAGATTTATTACAGAATATAGATATTATTATACAGATATTCATTAAAGGTATCATAAGGTTATGTGTTACTTTTCGAGTCCAGAGAGAGAAATGTGAGCTTGTAATAAACATTGAGGTCATGTGTCTAGCCGGAAATATAGAGTCTATAGAATGTAGAGTGGAACTCGAGAGATGTAGAGTCCATAGAGTAATAAATGTGATAGTATACACATAGAGGCATAAATGCGACTGTAAATAGGTAAGAGTGTCGGCGCATAACAAAATTCTATTCATAAATATTTCATGGTTACCAAATTATTCAGTTTCTATTAAAATCATAAGTTCTTGGCCTGCAAGTTTTATTACGGCATAGCAAGCCTCTTTATTATGTTCTGTGCTTGTTTGTGTACTTATTTGTAATCCCTCTAAACTTCTAAAATCTTCACATCTTTGAATCATATCCCTTTCTAACAATTCACGCTCAAAACCCGTATCTGATGGAAAAACTCTCACGCATGAGTGGATGTGATTACAAATGTTTGATTGAATCATATACTCTCTACAACTGCATGTGTATGTATGAAAACAAATTTTGCATGGTTCACATATGGTGTCGTAGTAACATCTGTTGGTAATACATTCCATTGCGTATTCAAACTGGTTTGTATAATATGATCAGGCAAAATTATTACACTTCTCATGTGGCTTATTCTTATATCTCTTTGTCTTGTCGATAGTGACATTCCATTCAATCTTCGCGTCCTTTGTCGAAAAGAATCCATTTCAAGGCGTAACACCATTTGAATGGCTTTAGCCATCCTTCTCGAGCACTTTCTCTTGAAAACTCAGACTTTTTATCTGATTATGAAAACTTTCCAAAAACATATTCGTGTTAATTCCTAATCCTTTCCGATATCAATACGCCCAAGTAAACATTAGTAAACTTTCCTAAAATATGCAACAAATATCTTAGCATCATCGTCTGTCTCAAGTTCATTCAAATAATCATTTAAATTCCTCCAAAAATCTTCCTCATCCAAAATCATTTTTATTTCTATAAATTTCTGATAAATTACTTCGCGTTTCTCTCTATTAGCAATCTTGTTTGATGCTGTTCTCTTCCAGCACCTGGACACATGCCAGGAGCATAAAAGTTTATGCTGTGGCTCACCCATGATATCTGACCATGCATTAGAATAAGCTGGAGCGTCATCTAATTATGCCTACCTCATTGGCAATTTGTTCAAAATATATTTTGCATAGAACTTCATCTTGTCTCTTTGAAAAACAAAGTGCTACTGGAATTCCGCTTCCAAATTCATCTACTACAAGTAAAGTATGTAGCAGATAGCCATAACCATTGGTACCATGAGTAGCATCTATGCAAACTCTATCGCTACCGAAGTCCTTTAACATTCTAGACTGCATTTTAGTCATTATTACTAAAATGTAATCTTCATCTCAAAGTCCATAACTAGCTGTGCCTGGTCCAACTTCTTTATGAAATATAATCTTGAATCTATTATCTGTTCTCATTTCCTCCAACCACATTTTGACACTTACTTTATCATCTTTACATTTTGGCGTATATGAGGGTAAAACCTTTTTCTTCAAATTCCACAAATCTTTCTTCGATATTGAAGAAGCTCTCTGTGGTAATATTTTATGATAGGAGGCTTCATGTATTGAGGTGATAATCACGTCATCGTTAACTCCAGCTATAATTTTTTCTGCAAATATTATATTAGTTTGAGATATTGATTTTATAAATACGTCAAATTCATTACTATTTTATTATATGATCAATAAATATACCTTTGATGTCCTTTAGCAAATCTTTGTCTATTGGAATAAATTTAGCCAGGTTTTCATGGCCCACGTGAGTCTTCCAATAATCAATAACCACGCGACCATCATTACATATTGTGGATATCATCCGGGAAGGGCATGCTACTCCAATCTTTCTACTATGTTTGAAAAACCAGCCTGTGTATTCTCGAGAGGCGTATGACCTATTGCAATTATAATAATTAATTTTACTTCCGTCTTTTATCTCGCGTCCTGAGCTGTTTTTTACATAGTGAGATAAATCCTGCTGCTCTATTTTGCTTTTTCATGTATAAAAATCTACAAAAAAGTATGAAAATAATATATAAAATTATACAGAATTGCTTTGATAATATCAGCAATTAAAAATTTACAAACCTTTTAGTGAAGAAAAATTGAGTTCTTCATATTTTATTTCAATCCCGTGGTCGAACTCCATGTGATCGCGCAATGTATTATATCTTGTGAATCTTTTTTTGCACACTGGGCATATTAACCTTTGGCAAAAACTACATTCAAATGTAGTTTTATATTGAATGCTTTGTTCGCCATGAACCTCGCGAACATGGCGATATAAGGAGCTACTACAGTTAAATTGCTTAAAGCAACGTGAACAGATGGTTTTGCTACTCATATTGAAAACTTAAAAATTACCTATCCCTATAAGTATAAACAATATAAAAACTACCTATCCCTATAACTATATATGCAAAAAAGATAAACAATATAAGGTAAACGTACCATATTACGGGATGTTAAGGAACATTTGACTTTAAAGACGAATTTTAGAGAAAATAGGAAAGTGGACAAACTAAATCTGTTATATTTTATTAATTAGACCTTTAAGATTATTATAAAACAAGATTTTTTGTCGTAGAACGTCATTTATAGAAATAATCGGCATTTTGGTGAACTACGCGTTTGTCTCTAATTCCGTGATAAAATTCGGTTCGTGAATATAATGCCGGGAGTCGCTGTACACTATTCCGTGATAGCGCTCGAAGCATACATTTTTGATCGTATTGCCTTGATAAATATAGTTGAATAGGTTATAAAAAGTACGGTAAATTATAAAATAATACTTTGATATCATTTTAAACATCTATTTAGTAGTATAAAAATAAAAGAATAAATAAAAATATAAGAAGTTGAAAAACTTCTAAAATAAAAATAAAATAAAAGCTGGTATTATTATAGTAATAGCAGTAAAATAATCATTATCAATACTGTTTCGGTAAATCAAATAAATGAA